CGTCTACATGTGGGACAATTCCTACTGAACACTGGCAGATGGCCTCAGACTTCCAAAAAGGCAAGAAAATATCCACATACTTGGGTAAGGCAAAAGAAAAAACAAAAAACAGAAACAAGAGAAGAGGGACAGGACCTGCACCTCTGGGAGGGAGCTGTGAAGGAGGAAAAGTTTCCACACACTAGGAAGCTCTTTCACTGGTGGAGACGGGTGTGGGTGTGGGGGAAGCTTTGGAGCCATGGAGGAGAGCACAGCAACAGGGGTGCAGAGGGCAAAGTGGAGAGATTCCCGCACAGAGGATCAGGGCCGACTGGCACTCACCAGCCCGAGAGGCTTGTCCGCCCACCCACTGGCCGGGATGGGTGGGGGCTGGGATCTGAGGCTCGGTCTTCAGAGGTCAGACCCCAGGGAGAGGACTGGGGTTTGTTGCATGAACACAGCCTGAAGGGGGCTAGTGTGCCACAGCTAGCCGGGAGGGAGTCCAGGAAAAAGTCTGAACCTTCCTAAGAGGCAAGAAACCACTGTTTCAGGATGAATGAGGAGATTCAGAGCACTGCCTAAACGAGCTTCAGAGACAGGAGCGAGCCATGGCTATCAGCACGGACACCAGAAATGGCATGAAATGCTAAGGCTGTTGCTGCAGTCACCAAGAATCCTGTGTGCAAGCACAGCTCACTATCCACACCTCCTTTCCTGGGAGACTGTGCAGCCTGCCACTGCTAGGGTCCTGTGATCCAGGGACAACTTCCCCAGGAGAACACACGGCATGCCTCAGGCTGTTGCAAAGTCATGCCAGCCTCTGCCTCCACAGGCTCGTCCAGCATTCCGTACCCATCCTTCCCCCCAGCCTGAGTAAGCCAGAGCCCCCTAATCAGCCTCTCCTTTAACTCCCTCCTGTCTGGGTGGGAACAGATGCCAGAGGGCAACCTACATGCAGAGGCAGGGCCAAATCCAAAGCTGAAAGCAAGGAGCTGTTCGAACAAAGAAGAGAAAGGGAAATTTTTCCCTGCAGCCTTAGGAGCAGCAGATTAAATCCCCACAATCAATTTGATGTACCCTGCATCAGTGGAAACCAGAACAGACAAAGAAACATAACAAAATTGAGGTGGTGAATTTTGGGAGCAACTGTAGACTTGGGGTTTCTTGCATGTGACTGACTAGATTCTGATTTTTATCTTTATTTTAGTATAGTTTTTAGCACTTGTTATAATTGGTGGATTTGTTTACTGGTTTGGTTGCTCTCTTTTTTTTATTACTATTTTTAATTTTAATAATATATATTTTATTTTAGTAACTTTATTTTATTTATTTATTTTTCTTTCTTTTTTTTCTCCTTTTTCTTCTGAGCCATGTGTCTGACAGGGTCTTGGTGCTCCAGCCGCATGTCAGGCCTGAGTCTCTGAGGTTGGAAAGCTGAGTTCAGGAAATTGGACAACCAGAAACTTCCCAGTCCCATGTAATATCAATCACTGAGAGATCTACTAGAGATCCCATCTCAACGCAAAGACCCATCTCCACTCAATGACCAGCAAGCTCCAGTGCTGGACACCTTATGCCAAATAGCTAGCAAGATGGGAACACAACCTCACCTATTAGCAGAGAGGCTGCCTAAAATTATAATAAGTTCACAGACACCCAAAAAAACACCACTGGACATGGTCCTGCCCAATAGAAAGAAAAGATCCAGCCTCATCCACCAGAACACAGACACCAGACCCCTCTATCAGAAAGCTTACACAACCCACTGAACCAACTTTACCCACTGGGGGTAGACACCAAAACCAATGGGAACTACAAACCTGCAGACTGGGAAAAGGAGATCCCAAACACAGGAAGTTAAGAAAAATGAGAAGACACAGAAATACGCAGCAGATGAAGGAGCAAGGTAAAAACCCACCAGACCAAACAAATGAAAAGGAAATATGCAGTCTACCTGAAAAAGAATTCAGAGTAATGAGAGTAAAGATGATCCAAAATCTTGGAAATAGATTGGAGGAAATATAAGAAACGTCTAACAAGGACCTGGAAGAACAAAAGAGCAAACAAACAATAATGAACAACACAATAAATGAAATTAAAAATTCTCTAGAAGAAATCAATAGCAGAATAACTGAGGAAGAAGAATGGATAAGTGACCTGGAAGATAAAATAGTGGAAATAACTGCTGCAGAGCAGAATAAAGAAAAAAGAATGAAAAGAATTGAGGACACAGTCAGAGACCTCTCACACCAACATTCGAATTATAGGGGTCCCAGAAGAAGAAGAGAAAAAGAAAGGGACTGAGAAAATATTTGAAGAGATTATAGTTGAAAACTTCCCTAATATGGGAAATGAAAAATTCAACCAAGTCCAGGAAACGCAGAGAGTCCCATACAGGATAAATCCAAGGAAACACTCACCAAGACACATATTAATCAAACTATCAAAAATTAAATAAAAGAAAATATACTAAAAGCAGCAAAGGAAAAGCAACAATAACATACAAGGGAATCCCCATAAGGTTAACAGCTGATTTTTCAGCCGAAACTCTGCAAGCCAGAAGGGAGTGCAGGACATATTGAAAGTGATGAAAGGGAAAATTCTACAGCCAAGATTACTCTACCCAGCAAGGACCTCATTCTGGTTCGATGGAGAAATTAAAAACTTTACAGACAAGCAAAAGCTAAGAGGATTCAGCACCACCAATCCAGCTTTACAAAAAATGCTAAGGGAACTTCTCTAGGCAGGAAACACAAAAGAAGGAAAAGACCTACAATAACAAACCCAAAACAATTAGGAAAATGGTAATAGGAACATATACATCAATAATTTAAATGGAAATGGATTAAATGCTCCAACCAAAAGACATAGACTTGCTGAATGGATACAAAAACAAGACCCACATATTTGCTGTCTACAAGAGACACACTACAGACCTAGGGACACATACACCCTGAAAGTGAGGGGATGGAAGAAAGATACTCCATGCAAATGGAAATCAAAAGAAAGCTGGAGTAGCAATTCTCATATCAGACAAAATAGAGTTTAAAATAAAGACTGTTACAAGAGACAAAGGACACTACATAATGATCAAGGGATCAATCCAAGAAGAAGATATAACAATTGTAAATATTTTTGCACCTAACATAGAAGCACCTCAATACTTAAGGCAAATGGTAACAGCCATAAAAGGGCAAATTGACAGTAACACAATCATAGTAGGGGACTTAACACCCCACTTTCACCAATGGACAGATCACCCAAAATGAAAATAAATAAGGAAACACAAGCTTTAAATGACACATTAAACAAGAGGGACTTAATTGATATTTATAGGACATTCCATCGAAAAACAACAGAATACACTTTCTGCTCAAGTCCTCATGGAGCATTCTCCAGGACAGATCATATCTTGGGTCACAAATCAAGCCTTGGTAAATTTAAGAAAATTGAAATCATATCAAGTATCTTTTCCAGCCACAATGCTATGAGACTAGATTTCAATTACAGGAAAAGATCTGTAAAAAATACAACCACATGGAGGCTAAGTAATACACTACTAAATAACCAGACATCACTGAAGAAATCAAAGAAGAAATCAAAAAATACCTAGAAACAAATGACAAAGAAATCACGATGACCCAAAACCTATGGGATGCAGCAAAAGCAGTTCTGAAAGGGAAGTTTATAGCAATACAATCCTACCTCAAGAAACAAGAAATATCTCAAATAAACAACCTAACCTTACACCTAAAGCAATTAGAGAAAAAAGAACAAAAAAACCACAAAGTTAGCAGAAGGAAAGAAATCATAAAATCAGATCAGAAATAAATGAAACAGAAATGATAACAAAGATCAATAAAACTAAAAGCTGGTTCTTTGAAAAGATAAACAAAATTGATAAAACATTAGCCAGACTCATCAAGCAAAAAAGGGAAAAGACTCAAATCAACAGAATTAGAAATGAAAACGGAGGAAACCTGACCCTGCAGAAATACAAAGGATCATGAGAGATTACTACAAGCAACTCTATGCCAATAAAATGGACAACCTGGAAGAAATGGACACATTTGTAGAAAAGCACAACCTTCCGAGACTGAACCCGGAAGAAATAGAAAATATAAACAGACCAATCACAAGCACTGAAATTGAAACTGTGATTAAAAATCTTCCAACAAACAAAAGCCCAGGATCAGATGGCTTCACAGGCAAATTGTATCAAACATTTAGAGAAGAGCTAATACCTATCCTTCTCAAACTCTTCCAAATATAGCAGAGGGAGGAACACTCCCAAACTCATTCTACGAGGCCACCATCACCCTGATACAAAAACCAGACAAAGATGACACAAAGAAAGAAAACTACTGGCCAATATCACTGATGAACATAGATGCAAAAATCCTCAACAAAATACTAGCAAACAGAATCGAACAGCACATTAAACAGATCATACACCATGGTCAAGTGGAGTTTATCCCAGGAATGCAAGGATTCTTCAATATATGCAAATCAATGAATGTGATACACCATATTAACAAATTGAAGGATATAAACCATATGATCATCTCGATAGATGCAGGAAAAACTTTTGAAAAAATTCAACACCCATTTATGATGAAAACTCTCCAGAAAGTAGGCATAGAGGGAACTTGCCTCAACATAATAAAGGCTCAGTGGTTCTCCATCATTCCTGACTTCAGCCTGGAGCTCCAAGGGGGGCTGCACCTAGAGTCCCAGCCTTACCCAGATCCTCATGCCCCCTTAGTGGACCCCACACCTCATTTGAGTTTTAACCTCCTCCTGTCCAAGAAAGAGAGAGAAAGCCAAAGATAGCCTGACCCTGCCCTTCTAGCTCAGCTCGGAAAAACAGCAGACTCTACTGCGTCCTGGGCTGCACCAGGCTACCAGCCACATTTTCTATGAGCCAGATGCTTATGATGGCCTGGACCAAGAAGACCCAGATGATGACCTAGATGTTTAACTGGCCAGGAGATTTGACTAGACTGTAATTGGCAGAAGAGGGAGACCATGGGCCCATAAACATCCTTCCATTGTTTGCATTGGCCTTAGCCTGTCTCTGCCCCATCTTTTTTCCCTGTGTCTGTGGAGGCCCTGCACTGTGATGCATGATCCAGGGAGCAGCTTAAAGTTAGGAGAGAAAGTGAGATGTGGGCATAAGGGAAGATGACAACACCAACCCCCAAGCCTAATAAAATCTTTATTTTTTATTAAAACAAATAATGACAAAAATATGACAAACCCACAGTCAACATTGTTCTCAATCGTGAAAAAGTGAAACCATTTCCATTAAGATCAGGAACAAGACAAGGGTGCCCACTCTCACCACTATTATTCAACAGAGTTTTGGAAGTTTTACCCACAACAATCAGAGACAAAAAGAAATAAAAGGAATCCAAACTGGAAAAGAAGAAGTAAAACTGTCACTGTTTGCAGATGACATGATACTATACATAGAGAATCCTAAAGATGCTACCAGAAAACTCTTAGAGCTGATCAATGAATTTTGTAAAGTAGCAGGATAAAAAATTAATGTGCAGAAATCTCTTGCATTCCCATACACTAATGATATTAAATCTGAAAGAGAATTAAGGAAACACTCCCATTTACCACAACAACAAAAAGAATAAAATACCTAGGAATAAACCTACCTAAGGAGACAAAAGACAAAAGAGGAAAACATAGGCAGAAGACTCTATGACATAAATCGCAGCAAGATTATTTTTGACCCACCTCCTAGAGAAATGGAAATAAAAACAAAAATAAACAAATGGGACCTAATGAAACTTCAAAGCTTTTGCACAGCAAAGGAAACCATAAACAAGATGAAAAGATAACCCTCAGAATGGGAGAAAATATTTGCAAATGAAGCAACTGACAAAGGATTAATCTCCAAAATTTACAAGCAGCTCATACAGCTCAATATCAAAGTAACAACCCAATCCAAAAATGGGCAGAAGACCTAAATAGACATTTCCCCAAAGGAGATATACAGATTGCCAACAAACACATGAAAGGATGCTCAACATCACTAATCATTAGAGAAATGTAAATCAAAACTACAGTGAGGTATTACTTCACACCAGTCAGAATGGCCATCATCAAAAAACCTTTAAGCCATAAATGCTGGAGAGGGCGTGGAGAAAAGGGAACCCTCTTGCACTGTTGGTGGAAATGTAAATTGATACAGCCACTATGAAGAACAGTATCAAGGTTCCTTAAAAACCTAAAATTAGGACTACCGTATGACCCAGCCATCCCACTGCTGGGCATATACCCTGAGAAAACCATAATTCAAAAAGTGTCATGTACCACAATGTTCATTGCAGCTCTGTTTACAATAGCCAGGATGTGGAAGCAACCTAAGTGTCCATTGATAGATGAATGGATAAAGAAGATGTGGCATATATATATGCAAAGGAATATTATTCAGCCATAAAAAGAAATGAAATTAAGTTATTTGTAGTGAGGTGGATGGACATAGAATCTGTCATACAGAGTGAGGTAAGTCAGAAAAAGAAAAACAAATACCGTATGCTAACACATATATATGGAATCTAAAAAAAAAAAAAATGGTTCTGATGAACCTAGGGGCAGGATAGGAGTAAAGATGCAGATGTAGAGAATGGATTTGAGGACATAGGAAGGGGGAAGGTTTAGCTGGGGTGAAGTGAGAGAGTGGTATTGACATATATACACTACCAAATATAAAATAGATAGCTAGTGGGAAGCAGCCACATAGCACATGGAGATTAGCTCGGTGCTTTTTGAACACCTAGAGGAGTGGGATAAGGAAGGTGGGAGGGAGACACAAGAGGGAGGGGATACGGGATATATGTATATGTATAGCTGATTCACTTTGTTATACAGTAGAAACTAACACAACAATGTAAAGCAAGTATACTCCAATAAAGATGTTAAAAATAAATGTAAAAAAAACAAATAAAATAAAATAGAACAGGTACTGCAATCATGGGATAGATAGCAATTACAAAGGTTAAAATGCAGGAATTCTGCAACATGTATATGAGAAGCTGGAAAAATCACTTAGAATAAAAAATTTGCTGTGTGAAAGCCATTGTTAAGGGTCTTGAATAAATGCAAGCTCATATAATTTGGTGAAAAAAAAGAATGAGCCAGTGACCTCAGAATCTATATTCTATATATTGATCAAAGGAACCTAATTAGGGCACAGTATATAAATAAGACCTGATTGAAGGGACATCTGTTGCTCAAGGTGGCCCAATTTTTAATATGGATTCCTGCATTTGTTCAAAGTCATTGGTCATAGCTTAGTGGCATTTTTGAGCTCATTACCCTCATTTCATTTAACCTTTCCTGAGAACATTCACAATTATTATACTCATATATTCAGTTCTATATACCAATTCATAGATAATTCCACTTTTACCTACATTCTTAGGGAGAGTGTGCATATGCTATTGACCTTACTTTTTTTTTTTTTTTTTTTTTTTTTTTGCGGTACGTGGGCCTTTCACTGTTGTGGCCTCTCCCGTTGCGGAGCACAGGCTCCGGACACGCAGGCTCAGCAGCCATGGCTCACGGGCCTAGCCGCTCCGAGGCATGTGGGATCTTCCCGGACCGGGGCACAAACCAGTATCCCCTGCATCGGCAGGCGGACTCTCAACCACTGCGCCACCAGGGAAGCCCTGACCTTACTTTTTGTTCCAAACTTTCTGCTCTTCGTTTTTCTATGTTAAAATATAAGTTTTCTTTTCATAAATATTATATAAACTATTTTCTAATATATTAAAAAATAGACAAAATTGAGTTATTTGTAGTGAGGTGGATGGACTTAGAGCCTGTCATACAGAGTGAAGTAAGTCAGAAAGAGAAAAACAAATACCGTGTGCTAACACATATATATGGAATCTAAAAAAAATAAATGGTTCTGTTGAACCTAGGGCCAGGGCAGGAATAACGATACAGACGTAGAGAATGGACTTGAGGACACAGGGAGGGGGAAGGGTAAGCTGGGACGAGGTGAGAGAGCGGCATTGACATATATACACTACCAAACGTAAAATAGATAGCTAGTGGGAAGTAGCCGCATAGCACAGGGAGATCACCTCAGTGCTTTGTGACCACTTACAGGGGTGGGATAGGGAGTGTGGGAGGGAGATGCAAGAGGGAGGACATATGGGGATATATGTATACATATAGCTGATTTACTTTGTTATACAACAGAAACTAACACAACATTGTAAAGCAATTATACTCCAATAAAGATGTTAAAAAAAAGAAAAAAGGACATTGCTAGGAAAGTATTGGGCTACTTCCCATTTATGATTTTAGGATTCATTGAACAGTTTAGATGGATGATTTCAAAAAAATAAAAACTTTTCCATGTTTACATCACTAGCTTTATTTGTTGGTAAACACACACACACACACACACACACACACACACACACACACATATATACACCTAGATGGTGAACTTTTTAATTGAGAATAATTATTATTATTATAATTAAAATAATTACCTTATTTTACTAAAAACATGAGGAAGGAAAGAGTCTATTTTAACAGAAAATAGATTAATAAATCAAACTTGGCTGAGTATCAAAAGAGCAAATTCCTCTTGATAAACCTAAATTTAAAGAACTCCCGAAGCTTGTATAGTGTCCTGAATTTGGGAAATTATCTTTCCCAAAGGACTAATCCCAACAAAAATAACTGGGTCGTGCCTTCGTAACTGCTTCCATCAAGGAATGGGGAAGACTCTGTTTAATATCCAGTCTTAATGTCATTCAGACACAAGTTTGCCTTATAAATCAGAAAAGGCAGCAGAGATGTTTCTGTCCTGAGGTCAGCAGTATTAGTTAGAGCCCTGGCAAGAAAATGAAAGGCACACTCAAAAAGATAATTGAAGAGGGTTTAATGAAATGTCTATTTACACTTAAGGTCAGGGATAAGGGAAACAACATGTGGTGGTGAAAGACTCAGGGACTAGCAATAGTGATTTCCTGCAGCTTCTGCCAGGCATACACTCTTTTCCCTGTCTATTCAGAACTAGAGGCCATTGCTGCCTATAAGTTCTTAATGGGCAGACAAGAGTGATGTTACTGGAACATGGTGAGATCTTTAGCCATGGGAGAGAGTAAGCCTGGCAGGAGCTGTAGCCATAGGTGGAGAAAGGCAGCTACTGATAATCCAGCAGAGCAGTGGAGCTGGCAAAGACATACAAAAATAAAAGTCCCAAAGCCCATTTTACATGGGGAAAGTTCCAGATTTTGCAGTAAAACAAACAAACAAAACTTAATTCAATACGACATACTGATCAAATTTTCCTGGGCTTGTTACTTATGTGTTCTGAAATTGTCCTCTCGACTTTAAAATAGGAATAATAGTGCCAAGGATGTCAGAGGGATCAACGGGAAAACTATATCTAAGAGTGATCTGAAAACTATGAAACTCAAGAGAATGCCATTTATTTTAATCATTATTTCTATTGTGTTATCTTCATTATCATCATTGTTATTATTATCTTCAGAGACACTCATTAACTTCAAAAGAATACTTGAATAAGGCATCTTATGACCAAATATGATATTTTTTTTACATGCCAGAATATTTCATAGCTTAGTCCCTGCTGGCTACCAATATTTAGATATCAGGGATCCATGAACTAAGTACAGTAAAGTTTTCAGAGATTAATAGAATACTCTAGTCTTAAAAGAACTTACAGAAACACAAGTGAAAAGTCCCTCAAACCTTTGTCTATGTGAAAACTTGGAGAGATGTTCATTCAGTGGGTCCCTAAATCTAAGGTAGCAAATATGGCACAACCATTTCCACTCCCACCTCATGCACCCATGGTAGACATTGCAGAGCCCAGAGATAACATTAGAACCCAGATAACATTAGAGCTAGAGATAACATTAGGATCTTCCTTAATACAGCATTCCAGGAAGCCATTAGTGAGTTATTGATTGGAGGTGGCACATGAGATGAATCATACCCACTATCACTGGACATTCAACTGATAGGCAGTGTGTTGAAACTGATTGAACCCTAGGGTATTGGTTTGAGCTTCATAGTTGATAAAGGATTCCAATAAATTAGAGAAAGTC